TCCGCGGGTCACGGGATCGAAACCCCTCACCGAACATGCTTGACTTTTCAGCCGCGAGGGCGATACAATGTGGCGATCAATCCCACTATTCGTTATCGAAGAATAGCCGAAGAGTTGGCTTCAGTGGTGTTGACTAACTGCCTTCCCTCTAGTCTATCGCTTCAAAGTGCCCCCCAGTGGCACCACGGTTTGTCTGCTGACTTACAACGCTAGAAACCGGGTTTCGATACCCGTGATGAGCAGAGCACACATAGCCCATTGCGTAGCTTCGTGCTTAACTTCAAACAAACAAAACGCTTCAAAGTAAGGGATGGCCAACGCAGATAGCCTTGCACGAGACTCAACAAAACAAACAAACGGTTACTTGAGCACATGTCAAGAACTTTCATAACTTTATATCATTTAATACTTCCCTGTTCCATATTTTAATAGCCTAAATTTGCTGACAGACCTGTAGATCAACCAATAGGATAATTGCTTGTTTTAACTATATCGTAATAAGCTGTGTATAGTCCTTACCTAAAGCAGAATTCTGCGTCTTGTATTTTTCTATTATAGCAAAACAGTGATTTACATACAGGTTATCCTACGTCTCCACAATCTGTAGAAATAGTTCCTTGACTAGTCCTACCTCAAGTAGTGATTTCCAACTTACTCCATGCGTTTTACATGAGAAGGAAAGAGATAATTCTCGTTCAACTAAAAATACGTGCTCTGTTTTGAAAATGCAATTATACAGCACAATGTGTGTTTTAGTGTACGCTTTTGAAGTTTTAATCCCAACAGCGCTGAACATTCATTCTCGAAAACTGACAGACTGGATAAGAATATTTACTAGACTTTTCGAACCGACTCTTTCACGATATATCATGTTGTGAATATCAATCAATGCTTTAGCGTGCGTCTTATGTTACCGTGGGCTGAAAGGAAATTAGTCTTATGTTACTGTGAGGTGAAAGGAAATTAGTCTTATGTTACTGTGAGGTGAAAGGAAATTAGTCTTATGTTACTGTGAGGTGAAAGGAAATTAGTCTTATGTTACCGTGGGCTGAAAGGAAATTAGTCTTATGTTACAGTGGGCTGAAAGGAAATTAATCTTATGACTAATATTTCGTTTGAGTTCCGTGATTATTTTTTTTCCGATTATTGTAAATAAAGTTATTTTCCAAGTTCTTAGTTTTGTATTTATAGTTTGTTTTCGAGATTTTTACGATTGTTGTTTAATTATTCAGTTTTTCCGTTGTTGTTTTTGTTTAAGTGTTTTCAATGTTGTTAAGACTAATGTCTTTATATCAGACCCTTCCATCGTTGTGTGAACCAGGCGTGACCTGGTACTTAGCGTGACAGACTGTGGATCCTAGTGTCTATGATTCGCGTCTCATTGCTCTTCAAGAATACCGATGCAATCCTTGTTCGATTCGTGTAGCCCATGAGTTGGAAGTAGGTGCTTTCCTATAGTCTATCAGTTCAAAGTTAGGGACAGCTTACACGGACGGATCTTGTGTATGTTTATGCTAGTATCCTAAAACAAACTGACAATCACAAGAATCGGACAACAATATACGTTATAATAATCAAACAAAACAAACGTCTAAAGACTAGAACATAAACAACAGAATCGGACAACAATATACGTTATAATAATCAAACAAAAACAAACGTCAAAAGACTCGAACATAAACAAAAAAACAAACGTCTAAAAGACTCGAACATAAACAACAGTCACAAGCTGTGGCTTTTTGTAGAATTTGCACCTGTTAATAATTATAAAACAATCATAAGACTCACTTATGGACCTGAAAAACTCAGTAATGAGACTAGAATAAAAGCACTACACTAGAATAAACACACTAGTCATGAAACTTTAACATTAGTATTGGTTTAAAACATTACGTATGTCTTGTCAGTTTGTTATATACATAATTTGCTTCATTAATTTACAAGCCACTTTTTACTTCTGATCCTTTGATCAGGCGTTAATGATAAAAAAAACCATAATCCAAACGCTCGAACAGAGACGACAATCACAAGACTGAGACGTGAGACTTGAAAAACGAAAAAAAAAGAATCCAAACAAAAAACAAGCAAGAACTCGAACAATATTAATAGTCAATACACTGGAACAAAAACAGGAATCATAAAATTCAGAGAAGTATGAAAATTACGTACAGAACTTTGGCAAAAACATTAAATATAAAAATCGAACAAATATGACTCACAAAAATCGGACAAACATATTTGTATGTGACTCGAAAATAAAAACTCAACACACAGAAGACTTTTAAAAAATCCAAAATTCAAATAAGCATACAAGACTCGGAGAAAAATACAAGTCATAAGAACAGATAAGACAACAATCATAAGAGTTAAAGAAAGAATCATAAAAAATCAACTAATAACAATAAACATAATATTCAGATAACAGGATAGTGAAAAGACTGGTTAAACATAAACAATAGTCACAAGAATCGGACAACAATATACGTTATAATAATCAAATAAAAACAAACGTCTAAAGACTCGAACATAAACAACAGTCACAAGAATCGGACAACAGTATACGTTATAACAATCAAATACAAAGTTTCCTGAAAAGCGTTGTTAACGTTATTTTATAGCTGTTAAATAACAGTATTGTAAATATGGAATTACTTGTGGTAATAGTTTTAGTTGTGGGAATATGTTTTTGTTGGAAGCTAGATTAATTTATCTTAAACTGCTTTATTGATCATCAGAGGGCGGTACACTCAGGTGTCAGTTCATGTTGGCATCCACATGGTAATAGAAAAATCACGAACTCGAAACTTCGGTTGTATTTATGGAGCTAACCAATAATAAACAAGTCAAAACGAGATATTCTGTGAACTCCGTAAACAGTACTAACACTACAAAATGTTGTGCCGTTGTTCTTTGGTTGTGGCTTAGTATATACACATCAAATATTTTGAAAGATTATTTCTGTCTTACAGGATTGTGGCTACCCCTAAATATGGCTGTTACCCAATCTTTTATTTTTGTCTATCCTATTATTTTTTAATTAAGAAATGTTCATACCTATACATATGTGTGTGTGTATGAATGATGTTTGATTGAGATAATATGAGCCGAGATATAGTTCAGTAACAGTTCTTTTTTCGTCTACTGAGCATCACCTGCTGTGTGTCTATTTTTTCATAACTGACACTACCAAATACATATATATAATTTTAATGCAATATCTTGATTTGTCTTCATAGAGCCTTTTATTATTTCACTAATATTTGCCTCCAAAAAATAATAATAAAGGAATGGGTCAGTGAACTACTATACCAAACAACTGGATGACAATTGTATTGTATATTATAACTCGAACTTTTATCAATGTGTTCAGAGAGTTTCTCTTTGATCTCGGTACTTTATCTTTATAAATAAAATATTATTCAAATGTTTTTAAATTACCTAATCTCTCATCATTTTGTGTAACGAAACAACGATGATTCTTGTGTTAAACTATTGTGTAACGAAACAACGATGATTCTTGTGTTAAACTATTGTGTAACGAAACAACGATGATTCTTGTTCTAAACGACGACTGTTAAACTATTGTGTAACGAAACAACGATGATTCTTGTTCTAAACGACGACTGTTAAACTATTGTGTAACGAAACAACGATGATTCTTGTTCTAAACGACGACTGTTAAACTATTGTGTAACGAAACAACGATGATTCTTGTTCTAAACGACGACTGTTAAACTATACCTTCAGTAAATAGGGTCCTGTTTCAGCTTTGATGATTTCAAAGAAAGAACTTTTAAATTTTAATCACTCGGTAATATTGTTGACTTTATACTGCATTCAAAGTTATTTCTATATATTAGTTTTCTAACAAAGCTATATCAAGGGTATCTGCTCTGACTGTCCCTCATTTAGAACTAAAGAGAATACTGTTTATAAGAACTATGAACATTCGACTTCACACTAGTCCACACACAAAACTTTAGATGTATCCTTTCTTGTATGATTTGTAACATCTCCACTTACCTGAAAGGCCTGTCAATATCTCCACTTACCTGAATCACCTGACAATATCTCCACTTACCTGAATGACATGTCAATATCTCCACGTACCTGAAAGGCCTGTCAATATCTCCACTTACCTGAATGACATGTCAATATCTCCACCTACCTGAATCACCTGACAATATCTTCACTTACCTGAATGAACTGTCAATATCTCCACTTACCCGAATAACCTGACAATATCTTCACTTACCTGAATGAACTGTCAATATCTCCACTTACCTGAATGGCCTGTCAATATCTCCACTTACCCGAATCATCTGACAATATCTCCACTTACCTGAATGGCCTATCAATAGCCCCACTTACCTGAATAGCCTGTCAATACCTCCACTTACCTGAATGGCCTGTCAATATCTCCACTTACCTGAATGAACTGTCAATATCTCCACTTACCTGGATGGCCTGTCAATATCTCCACTTACCTGAATGGCCTGTCAATATCTCCACTTACCCGAATCACCTGACAATATCTTCACTTACCTGAATGAACTGTCAATATCTCCACTTACCTGAATGGCCTGTCAATATCTCCACTTACCCGAATCATCTGACAATATCTTCACTTACCTGAATGAGCTGTCAATATCTCCACTTACCTGAATGACATGTCAATATCTCCACTTACCTGAATGACATGTCAGTATCTACATTTACCTGAATAGCCTGTTAATATCTCCAATTACCTGAATGGCCTGTCTTTCAAATAAACCTACACACTTGCTTTAATTCAAATATTTTGTTTAAACTTTATTTTTTTAAGTTGTATGTGTGTCCCAAGGTAATGTTTCTTGGTCATGAGTAGCATTTGAAAGGTTATCACAGATTGATTTTGTATTTAATGTACCTACTGATATAACCACATAATGAACTCAAATAGTGTTAACTTCATAAATGAATTATATCTGAATTTTAAAAAAATGTTCATTTGTTGTTAGATATTTGCAGTATGGGAGTTATCCTGTCGTTAATCCACAAAACGAAACGTTTCCACCTCAGTTTCATGTTCACCGCCAGTATCTCCATCACGTGACCCTGCAGACAGATTCCGAGCCGGTGCACTTAAATATCTCAGGCCCTCTGGCGGGAGATTGGTTTGCCGTAGCTTTTGTAGCCGAAAAGTCTAACAGAATTGTGCAAAAAGTACGTTTTTTTCTTAAGTAAATATTACAATTTCACATCATAGAATTAAAATTAAAGCTGTATAATGGTACCAAGATGTAATATCAGTCTAGCAAAGCAATTAAATTATGATGGTTTTTGTGAAACTTTATAAAAGTGTATGATATGAAACTTTGCCCATTTCTTTTGTAAAATTTAAATAGTTATATACCAGTTTTTTCCCTAAATAAATAGGTATTTTATTTTCCGAAACTTGTATGTTTTCACTGAAGTATTACAAAAGATGACGCTGACCGTTATTATATTTTACAGGGACTCCATCTTCAATGTAAAGCGTGGCTCACATCAAGTTTGCGATTACAAATAGCAGAAGAGGTTCTAAGCCTTTCACCAAACCAGCCACTATCACAACAAATATCAATAATGCAGTATTACAGGTAACTTTTCGAACAAGAAACAATTGTGTAAATCATCTATCACTTGCATATAAAAAAACAGTTCGACGTTAATAATGTCTAAAGGTCCAGCGTTCTTCCATAAAGCTAAACAAGCATATTTTTAATCCCAATTACGTTTGATCACTTAATTTTCTAATACTTTGTTCAAAAACGTCATTTTTTACTGATGCTCTATTTTTTATATTTTTTAATTTGAAGTATAGTCTATTTCAGTATTTAAAATATTCTACCATAGAAAATACCTACTGAAAGAGTTTTTCCGTTTGATACCAGACAGACGGCTATGATGCAATATATGTCATCAATATCTAGATTTAATTATGTTAAACCATTATTTTGCATATTTTAACATTTGTACTAATACAGTTTGCTGCAACTAAAAATAATAAATCAATGACTTACTGTTTATCCATCCATTTTCTATAGAAGATTAAAACTGCATAAAGCTTTTAGACTGTCTAATGCTATTAGGCATTGATCACTGGCAAACACACTTCCAATTTCTTTGGGTCCACAAATCTTTTGAAAGTATAGAATACTTAATATTTCACTTTCACAAATGAAACACATATTATTTGAATGAGACAATTATTATAACCAATAATTTATTTTTATCATCCTACAACTAAATATAACAAATGAAAACTTACTCTTTAACTTTACTATTATTTTACTATTACCGTCACACACATACAGACAGTGATACTACAGTACACAAAACCACCCTGGAAATACTGACATCATTAGTCATTATCGGCTACACTTTAAACAACCTAAGAAAAGTCACAGTCCGACATGTTTGATACTCAAGGCCTCTGCCAGGTTGTGTTTTACAAAATATATGGGACAGGTCGTCAAGTTTAGATAATTCTTTTCGACCTTTAGTGTTAGTTAAACCTTGAACTAGAAATAACATCACGTGGTCATTGACACATAACAGTTGAAGACGAAGTTGACCTTGTGTTCGTCTAATCTGAGTAATGCTTTCATTTCTTGATTTCTATTTAATTATCTTTCATTTAAACTCAGTTTTACAAATGCCTATAAGGACCTTAAATTATAAACCAAGGGATTATTTTGAAGTTTTTGGTAACATCAAATATACAAATCAGTGTTTGTCATAAACTAATATACTATCCTACATATTTAACAAAACATCTGTTACTATAATCATTATATAATAATGAAAATAAACTCTACATAAGATTAATATTCAATTACAAAGCTCTAAATGTATTTAATTAGATCGTAAGTTTCTGTAATTAACAATTATAATACAATATCTTTATTTATCTATACATAACATTTAATAATAAACTCTACATAAGATTGTTACTGAAATTAAAAATTCAGCAAACATGGTTCATTGCATAGCGTTACAAAACAGTCATTTTTTATTCTATTACTCAGTTAGCATACAATTATTAAATACTGCACCCGAAATGCTTAGAATAATTTTTTAAATGTTCTGTTCAATTTTAATTTATGATATTTGTATAAACATGTGAGATTTTATTATAATTATTATTACAAATATCTCATAATTTATAATACCTGTGGTATATATCTGTTCTAGCATGTTATTAATCACCATAAGTGAAACGCAAGGCATCGTCCAAACTATACAAAACGTATTGTTGCGTCATCGAGATCACGTGACTATTCTCACGCCCTCTAGTTTCTAGGACTATACCGTACCTTGGCGAATGCTCTAGTATTTACTAGATAGGGTAGGCTGGTATATAAAAGAGGATGACAACGTGTCGAGATAATGTAATGTGTGTGTAGATAGTGAGTAATTGAACTGCAGTCACAGGGTATTGTTGAAGTTAACGTTCGTTCGTTATAGTGTTTGTTTTAGCGC